GCGTTGAAAGAAATGAAATACAGAGGTGTAGAATAATTTCAATTTAGTGAATACATATATCAAATCCAGAGAAAGGCAAGATTAATAATCTTATATTCAGATGTTAGTAAAATCGTTAAAACACTCATTGAACTTTTTATTCAAAAGGAGAACATATTCATGAATTAATTGGTTGGATTAAAGATGTTAAGAAACAATTTGAGCAAGCACAAGATAATATTAAAGGAATGTTTTGTATATTATCAGACCAAAGAAGGTTAAGAGTTGGTGTTTCATTTGAAAAAGAATTAAAAAAGTGTTGGGGAGAGAGTGTTATTAAAGAACTTGAGAAAACAGATATTCTTGAATGGTTAAAAAAGCAATTAAAAGAGATTAAAGAAACAGAAAAAAATTATCCATTTGCTATTGGAGAATTAATTTATTTTTTAAAAGAAGTAATAAGTTGGCAATTTGGAGAAAAAATAAGAGATAAATTAAATGAATATATCAGAAATGATTTTAACAATGATTTTAATGAAGCAAGACAAAGCGGTCAATACATTGAGAAAATTCATGAGTTGATGAAAAAAGAAAATAAAGTATTACAAACATTATTAAAAGAAGATGAAATTAAATTAAGAAAAGAAATGAATAATAAATTTGTATTTATTGAAGAAGTGATTCATGGATTAAGGAAATATTTTGATGGTTCTGATATTCATGGAATAAAACAAAGTCTTCAATTATTACATCTAGTTTCATTGAAAGAAGATATTGTTGATAGTTTTAAATCTCTTTGTAATAATGGAAGTAAACAATATATTAAAAGATTATTTAATTGTTTTAATGAATTTAATGCAGAAAAAGTATGTGAAACAATAATGTTATTTGATGAAATTCAATCTGATAATATATATGGAGAGTCTATTATAAGTGGATTAAAAGAAGGGATTGCTTCTTCAGATTGTCTTCTTAAAAATGGTGATACTATTCATGTTATAATGACAAAATATGCTTTTCAAATTATAGATAATTTTAATGAAACAAAAATTATTCATTTTATGAAATCACTTATTCTTCTTCCTTCTAGAGATGTTTTTGAGAGTTTATTCTGGAAAACTTTGTATGGAAGAATTGTTTCAGGAAAAATTAAAAGCATTGATACAATAAATGTTTTTGTTAATTATCTTAAACAATATTTTGGTGCTTCTACTATTTCAAGAATATCAAGTCTTATTCAAGACTATATCACTTCATTAGAATTAATTAAACAATTCAAAGAAAAGAATAAACCAAGTATTGAAAACAAAATAAAATTTGATATTATTGTATTTGGATTACCTCAACACGAAATTAGTTCTATTGTTCATTTACCTCCTTCATTGGCTGTTATTTTCCAACCATTTAAACAGTTTTATTTAGAAAAATTTCCAAGTAGAAGAATTAATATTCAACCAGAACATTCATTATGTGTAGTATCATTCAGTTTTAATAATAAAACTTTATTACATTGTACAACTATTCAATATTGTATATTGTATCATTTTCATTCAAAATATGAATGTTGTATTGAAGAATTATCAAAATCAATTGAAAATAGAACTATTTTATTACAAGTGTGTGATAATCTTGTTGCCCATGGATTACTTATTAAAACAGAAGATACTTATAAAATAAATAATAACTATCAACCACAACGTACTGTTACTAATATTACTAAACTTATTAAAACTACACCTCAAATGAAAATAATTGATATTAACGAAGATGTAGAACAAAAACGTTCAATTCAATTACAATGTTCAATTATTAAAATAATGAAAAGAGAAAAACAACAACTTATATCAAATTTAATAAACGAAGTTGTTATTGAAGTTTCAAATTCATTTACCCCCACGATATTAATGAT